TGCGATCAATTTTAAGTAAATACTTAAAATTTGTTTCACAGTGATAACATCACATTTACCTCAACGTGATGCACAATAAGGCTCGCCCAATGCACTATTTCATGTTAAGTATAATACTCCATCCGTAACTTTGAAATCTTCCCATTTCAAAAGTAGGTAGATTAAGAATAGTGAAAGATGATATGAATTATTGAGGGTATGATGGGAAAATTGTGGAATAATGTGGTGGAATGTAGGATAAATCCAAAAAAAGTAGTTGTAATAGTGTATTATTTTAGAAATTATTGAGGGTGTGATGGGAAGATTTAGAAATGAGATTTTTTTTTTGTTACGGACGAAAAAGGAAAGTGGGAAGATTTTTAAGTTACGGAGGGAGTATTTACCGTGAGAACGTGATAACACTCAAATTTAAATCAATGTGGTGCACAATAGAGCTCGTCAGGTGAACACTTTGACTTTTCTCAAATCATGCTTATATAAATAATCACGGTGGCATTTTGGTAAATATTATACTTAACATGAAATAGTGCATTGGGCGAGCCTTATTGTGCATCACGTTGAGGTAAATGTGGTGTTATCACGTTCTCGTGTTAAGCAATGTTCTCATTTGATCTTTATTATATATATATATATATATATAGACAAATCTTCATGTCAGGCCGCCCTGACGGGATGCTCCGTCCGGCCGAGCCCGTTTGGGCACCTTCCCGGTGAAATTTTTTGATGAAATTTTTGAGCTTGTTCCTCATCAAGTCTAGTTTGTCCATACCAAATTTCCGCTCAAAATTCGATCGGGAAGGCATTCAAATCATTTTTTGAAGTTGACTGCGTCAAAATATACATATAAAACTGCAGTCAACTTCAAAAAATGATTTGAATGCCTTCCCGATCGAATTTTGAACTGAAGTTTGGTATGGACAAACTAGACTTGATGAGGAACATGCTCAAAAAATTTCATCAAAAAATTTCACCGGAAAGGTGCCCAAACGGGCTCGGCCGGACGGAGCATCCCGTCAGGCCGGCCTGACAAGAAGACCACTACCTCTCTCTCTCTCTCTCTCTCTCTCTCTCTCTCTCTATATATATATATATATATATATAGACAAATATTCAGGTCCGGCCAGGCCAGACCACTCCCCTTATATATATATATATATATATATATAATAAAGATCAAATGAGAACATTGGTTAACGTGAGAATGTGAGAACACCACATTTACCCCAACGTGTTGCACAATGAAACTTGTATATTGCACTTTTTCACATTTTCACTATATTTACCAAAATGCCACCGTGTTTATTTAATATAGGCTCAATTCGAGCAAATTGAAAATGTGCATTAAAATAGCTCTATTGTGCATCACATTGATTTAAATGTGAGTGTTCTCACGTTCTCATATACATATATATATAGAGAGAGAGATTTTGGTTCAAGTGAGAAATGCATCTAATGTGAGAAATGAGAATGAATCTCAGTCATTGGATTTCCGGTTTTGCACTGAAAATAGCTTGATGTTGCAGTAAGATTTAATTTCTTGCAGTGTTGTACTAAAATTGCTTCATATTGCACTAAAATTTGACGACGTTGCACCAAAACAGCTTCATGTTGCACTAGATGACACTGTAATACCGATTTTTCAGAAAATGTCACCAAAGTAGGTTGCATATTTTAGTGCAATATAAAGTGTTTTACTCAAATCCAACGGATGAGATTCATTCTCATTTCTCACCTAAAGGGTTCTTCTCACTTGAACCTTACCCTATATATATAGAGGACTTTTCATGTCCAGTCGGCCTGACGGGAACCGCCGTCCGGCCGAGGGCATTTCGGGCACTTCCCAGTGGAATTTTTTGATGAAATTTTTTGAGCGTGTTCTTCATGAAGTCTAGTTTATCCATACCAAATTTCAACTAAAAATTCAATCGGAAAGACACTCAAATAATTTCTTGAAGTTAACTGGGCAGTTCATACATATAAACTGCCCAGTTAACTTCACAAAATTATTTGAATGCTTCCCGATCGAATTTTGAACTGAAATTTGGTATGGATAAACTAGACTTCATGAAGCACATGTTAAAAAAATGTCATCAAAAAATTCCATCGGGAAGTGCCCGAAATGCCCTCGACCGGACGACGGTTAACGTCAGGCCGGCTGGACAAGAAGACTAGTCTATATATATATATATATATATATATATATATATATATATATATATATATATATATATATACATATAACTCAGGATTGAGGGAATCCCTGAAACTGGGCATGCACAAATCTTATTCTAAGCTTTCAGTGATTTTTCAGTGAAATTGACAAATCACTGAAGAATAGTTAATTTGAGGTGTTTTTTCTATTTGAATTTGATAATTTTTTTTATTCTTTTAATATAATTATTCTTTTCTTTGACATTTTTGTGGCAACAGATACTATTTTATATGTATCTGAAAATAACTTTTGTTAAATACATACTATCTTACCACATTCTAATATTTTTTTTATTTAATTATAATTTGGCCCCACCTGAATGTCAATGCTGGATCCGCCCCTGTTCATAGCCCTATATTCTATACTAGCTTTCAAGCCCGTGCGATGCACGGGCAGTATGTAATTTAGCTAATTTGAAATTTAATTTCTTTCAGATCACATATAATGTGATTTAAAAGAAAAAAAACTTAGTCTAATATAGAGTCTGTTTGATAATGCTAAAATAAATAGAATTAACTTATTTTGTTGAAATTGATTGAATTCTGGTTAAATAGGTGGAATCTCCTGAATCATGAAAAATATATGTGAAATATATTCCATCTGTGAAAGAAAGAAAAAATTATATGAAAAAAAGTTAAATTGGTCTTCTACATGAGCAGTAAACATAATTATTATGAACCCAATATTAAAAAAATTCTCTATTTCTTAATTGTTAGATCTTACATTTTACTCATTAATAAGGACGTCTTATTTGAATTAAAATTTCAGGTTCTATTAGGTATAAATTAATATGGTCTAGTAGATGTCTGTTTTTTATGTGACTTATTATTATAATTGTTATGATTATTAAAATTTGATCTAATCTGATTTAATCTGAAACTGAAATCAATCCAATTAAAAACATTTTATTAAAATAAAAGTATGAATTTGTAAACATATCAAGATTTTCTAATTTGGATTAGGAATCTATTTTAAAAGTGAAGGCATATTTAAATTTTAGTTCTAACATAAAGATACAACAAAAAATATTTACTTATTTGGCTAGGCTAAACGTATTTACTTGCGAAAATATATATACTTTATGTTGGTTATAATTTTTAATTTCATTTCTAATTATTTATTTATTTATTTGAAGCTTACTAATTTATTAATAGGTGTCAAATTAATAAGTAAACTAATTTGCATATTTGTTTCTATTTAATTCCTTTTAGTAAACTTATGTAAATTAGTGATCATATCGTTATTAGAATTTCACGTTGATAACCAAGCCCGTGCAATGCACGGGCAGTACGTAATTTAGCTAATTTGAAATGTGATATTTTCTGGATCATATAAAAGGTTATGCAAAAGCAAAATAAATTTAGGGGTTGTTTAATTTCGACTAAATAGGCTTAATGACAATTGACGACTTAATTATTCAGTCATTAAGCAATGTTTATTTATTATTTAATTGGAAGTATGACTTAATCAATTAGTTAAAAACTTAAATTAATCATTAAGCTCAATAATAGCAGTACTTCTCATTAAGATATCTATTGCGACATTTTTCTGTCAATTTTTTCAAATTGATTTTGGAATAGATTTATATTAATAAATGAAGTTTTTCACTAACACTATAAATTAAGAACAATACTAAATTGTTTATTTTACATGATTCAGACTGTTTATTCAGCATATAAAATAAATAGCCTCAAATACAAATATCACTAAATCAGAATTCTTAGTAGAGGCATACGTGTTAATCTAGACATGATTTAATAGAAGGAAAAAAACTCCTCTCAATTTAATATGGAGCCCATTTGATAACACTAAAATGGATCAAATCGACTAATTCTGCTGAAATTGATTAAGTTTTGGCTGAATGATGTGCATAATTAATTTTAAATTTTAGTAGTGCATAAATAATTTCAAAATAAAAAAAGAAGCATTAATGGTTCTTCTAAAAAATAAAAAGAAGAATTAATAGTTAGACTGTTAGAGATGATTAAAAAAGAAGTATATTTCTTGAGAAATAATTTTAAAATAAAAAAAGAAGCATTAATGGTTAGAGAATGCAGTCCATCCCACTTCACTCCACTCTTACCCAATGCAATGTTAGGGAGTAATGGTATGCTATGCAATGTTACAGAGTACTACTATGGGAGCGAATGCAGGGCTGAACACTTTAGAAAAGGTAATTTGTAAAGTGGGTCTTTATTAGTTGGAAACTAAAAGAAAAGGTCTCTTTTTTGCCCAATTCCTAATTTTACTAATATTCATGTCAAAACCCATAAAATTGCCCTTATGCCCTAAAGATTATTACTTGGTACTGGTAGAAAATAGTGATCTCGTCCGTTTCAACCTAACACATACACCTTAATCTAATCTATCCATTTCAGACTAGTTGGGGGGATTAATGGTGTGAGCTTTTTACATAAGTCAAATTTCTATCAAAGTTTCATGTTACAAAGTAAGATAAGATCGATTTGATTGTGCATTCAAATTCGTAGTTACGTTGAACATAATAGTTGTTGTTGCACATGCATAATGTTTTGTGTTACCATGCAAAAAATATATGATGTTGGCATGTTGCTTATGCTTTCTTTTCTTCTTTCTTATGCCACACATATTTCTATGGAACAAACTAACTATAGAATTTTAGATTTTTAGGCCACTATATTTTCACAAATTCTTTTCTTGATGAATTATTCAGAGTTTCGATGAATTTAGTTTCTTTTAATTTGAAAAAAGGAATTGAACTATTTAATACTCCAAGTTACAACCATGAGCACAACAAGCAAGACTAGTTCTTGTACTGGTCATTTAGCCCGATCCCGAATAAAATTGACCCATATTTTTTCCCTTTTTTTGTCGTCCCATAATTTTTCTTTAATTAATAAGCCGTTTCTATTGAAATCTTTATATTATCACTCTACATAATCACTCTACATAATTGCACAACTTTGTGGAATTTCATTTTCCCGCTCATTATTAGAACACATCTCCACCTCACGATCAAAATTAGATCTGCGACTCTTGGTAAAAGATTCGTCCTTTCTCCTCCTCACCTTCTCCCTCACCGCAAAATCAGTCCCTTCACTCCATTTCTCACAACCGCAGCCCATCAATTCGTTCCTCCATTTCTTGAGCGCATGAGAAGGGCATTTGAGCAGGTCATGGGCTCTTCTCCTCTTTGGAAACCTCATCCATATTCTCCATCCATTTCATAATCTTAATTGATATCAGATTCATTCGCACATGAAAATGATATCAACACCTCTTCTCTTCTTCGGTCATCCTAATGCATCCCAGTTGAAAAGCTCGGAAGAAATATTATTCTAATTCGCTCAATGGAATCCATTGGAGTGGAAAAACTCGGAAGTAATATTTTTCTAATTTGCTCAATGGAATCCATTGGAGTGGAAAAACTCGGAATCCCTTTATAAGTAATAATATGGTTGCTCTCGGTTTCAAGGTTTTTCCTGTAATCAGCCTCTTCAAGGTCAATTGCTTCCTGTTTGCTCCTTTAGTCGAGTTTTTTTATATTATTACGCTTTTGAGCTGATTTTTATTTCAAACCTTTTATTCTCTGATTGTGAATGGTCTCCTGCAAGGCTAGCAATCGAAGGACGGCTGGCGGTCTGTGAAGGACAGGGCCACTGTCTTCACAGTGCAGTAGATAATCCGGAAATAGACCATGGGATGAAAAGAAAAAGATGAACACTGGATTTCAGATTGCTGTCAATTTTAACATACAAATCTCAAAGTGTTGAGTGTCGGTCAGATGGCATTACGGATCTTCATTTTTCAGAACATTATCCTGTCTCAAGACTCTCAGGTACCTAATTCTTTGCTATAATTAAGGGATTCTTGACTCAATTCTGTTTATTTAATTACACTGAGTTTCTTAATGTTGCTTGCTGTACTTGACGTGACTTATTGGCTATTATATGTTAAAAAAAATGTCCCATGGGGAATGTGTTTACATCGAAACTTTCCTTTCTTCACTTCGACGATCACCACCATCGAATTTCTTTTCTCATATATTTTGAATATAAGGTAAATTCTTGCTTCCTAATTTAGTTTCACATCACTAAAACTCCAGATCTTAATTAATTAATTTACTAACTTTAGTTTAAATTATGTTTACCGAAATTTCCAGATTATAAACAAAAAGGTATTTGATGCTCTTCTTTCTTCATATGGATGGTCATCGCCATCTTCTTTTCTGGCTTAAAATATTTTAACAAGGTAAAATAATATTTTCTTATGATGAGAGATTTTGCAGGTAAATTTATCATGGTAATGTTTTTATGAATACTTTTCTTAGTTTGGTTATATTAATTCTGCATTTTCTTCTTTTAAGTTTGCTTGAATTCTTGGACTTCTTTATGGAGTTTTTGTAGTTTCATTTTAAAGTTGTTTTTTATTTACTGAAATCCGGGAATGCACTTTTAGTACTTTTTTTTGTTAAAAGTTAAAACTGAACTACCGTCACTATTCTTTTTGTTTTATCTTCTTAATTTTCTGAAGAATGTAATTTCAAGTTTTTAAGTTGTTACATTTTTAAAGTTTCTTTTATCGAATACATTAATCGTTTTGGTAATTTTGTCAAACATAGATACTATATGAGTCAAAAGAATACAAGGAACAAAAGCATAAAGATGTACAGAGTATTTGATAAGAGCTGTTTAAGTTAAAACACCCTTTTGTAGAAAAAAGTTAGTACATAACATCTTATTCTAATTCTTTTCAGGTTTATCCATAATAAGTGGGGTTTGAGTGGCTATAAATAAGATTTTATATTTTTTGTCTCATGTTTTTGCAGATACTTTTAAAGAACACATGCACAACTTAGACAATTAAAAAGAAAGAACATAAAAGTTCAACGATACTAATATATCATAGTGAACTATATCGCTATTAGTTCTTCAACAAATATACAATGTAATTAAAAATTGGGAAAAATAATTAAAATACCTCAAACTTTGAAGGGGTGTGAGATAAACACCCCAAACTTGCATATGTAATTTAAATACCCCAAACTTTATTTATAAAGTTATTTTAGCACCATAGTCAAGTATTATTTCTTTCAAAAATGTAAATTTGTGGTGTTTGTTAGAACTTTTATTGTGGGTCAAGTTTGTCTGTAATGTCTTGTTTAATAAAGTAGACTAGTTATACCATTTATGGTATTAGATTAGTAATTATTATGTAATAAATAAGGTAAAGGGAATAAGGCCCAAAAAGGCCTTGGCCCAACTTCCAAGGTTTACCTAAATCGGTAACCTTTACAGCGCCTATAAATATGCGCCTTGTGTACAGGTACCGATATCGATCAATACACTTTAGCCTTACGCTGCCAAAAATACTTCTCGATATAATAGAAAGGCGATTTCCAAGTTCTCGACATTGCATAAATCATTCTGAGTAATCGTTCTTCTCTGTTTGTCGTTGATTTCCATCTAGCTGTGTATTAGTCTGCATAAATTGGGACCAACAACTGGTATCAGAGCCTGCTCGAGTGTGATCGCCGAAGAAAAGTTTTCGAAGATCTCTGTTTCCTGTTTTCTCGATATTTCGCTATTTTAATCATTGTAATCTTGTTTCTGATCGATTATCTGTAAAAGTTATACCCTTGGACTCGCCAGTCAAAAACAAACCAAGAGTATAGCTTAAATCTCGATTTCAGTAAACTTGAATTTTCGAAGTTCTCGATAGAATGATATCGAAAAGCAGGGTTCTCGGTGTTTAAGCAGGTTTCTCGAACTGAAAACTACTCAGGAAGGATCTCGAGATCAAGGACACTATTAAATAATTGAAAAATCTGTTTAAAAACTGTTTTTCAATTTGCAGGATTTCGATACCGACTTCTCGACATAAGTTCTCGAACTGAGTTCTCGAGTCTGTGTTCTCGATACTCAGTTTTTGATATTATTTCTCGATATCTAGTTTTTTCGACATTGCAGGTTCTCGATAGATCTTCTCGAAAATCAGTTTCTCGAAACCAAGTTCTCGAACTGAGGTTTTCGATACTGACTTCTCGATAAGAACTTCTCGATAAACTAGTTCTCGACATTAAATATCGAAAACAGCTTCTCGATAGCACTTCTCGAACTTACTTCTCGAACCTATTCCTGATTGTTAGGTTTTCGACATTCTGTTTCTAAAATTCTTGATCAAATCACTCGAACGGTCTAATTTTTTTTTTAAAACGGTAAAGATGGAAGCATTGGCACTTGGAAATGAGAACAGACCCCCAATCTTGAGAAGAGGAGAATATCAGATGTGGAAAACAAGGTTCTTAAACTTTCTGAAAGGAAAAGACAACTCGTCTGCAATGCTGGAATCGCTTACTGACGGCCCAGCACAAATCTGGATGGATGTGACTTCAGATGGTGTAAACAATCCTCCCGCCACTGTTGAGAGAAGATTGAAAGCAAAATCCGAGTACACTGAAGCAGACAGACTTAGAGTCAAGGCAGATCTGATGGCTAAGACGTACCTGCTCCAAGCTATTCCTAATGACATATATATACTTATTGACAGCATGGAAACAGCTAAGGAGATGTGGGATGAAATCAAAAAACTGATGATTGGAACTGAGCTCGGATTGAAGACGAAGAAAGCCAACATTCTAACTGCATATGATGGATTCAAGGCCCTACCTGGTGAGGCGCTCCATGAAACATACAACAGATTTGTACAACTGATCAATGAGATGAGAAAGATCAAGGTTGTCAAATCCAACATGGAAATGAACATACGCTTCTTGTCGAGCCTGCCACCAGAATGGAGAAGGACTGTGAAGAACTTACGACAACACCTGGATTTGGATGAACTTGATCTATGTACTGTGCATGAGCACCTCCAACAGTTTGTGAATGACACTGCTGACATGGAAGGAACCTATCCTGGCAATCCATTAGCATTAATGATGGAAGCTCAACCCAAGAGTTCATCCAAAGCTCAGAAGAAGAAGAAGACAGTTGTTGTGATGTCTGAAGAGGAAGATAGTGAGGAAGAGGTGGATGTAGAATCAGAACTGGCCGAACTGCAAAAGAAAATGGCCCTGCTGACCAACCAATTCAACAAACGATTCTCGAAGAAAGGAAGCTCTTCCAATAAACTCCGAACTTCCTCTGTCAACTACAAATCGAAGAATAATGATCAGAACTTTTCCAGTAGAGCTGTTGCAGCGGAAGACCCTCCCAAATGCTTCAATTGCGGAAAAGTTGGACATGTTATCAAAGACTGTCGCTTGCCAAGAAAGAGGGACTTCAACTACTATAAGCAGAAAATGTTGTGGAACAAGCAGAAAATGTTCATGGCTAAACAAGATGATGACAGCGCTGCAATGCTCACTGAGGGAGATCCATGGCAGGAGGAAAGTTCTGACGATGAAGAAGGAGAAAACTTGGCACTAATGGCTATTGTTGAAAAGGAGGAAGAAGAAAAGGGTGATGCTGCGATCCCCAGTGGAAGTTCAAGCTCAAACCACACTGTAAGTACTTCTAAATCTTCCTGCTCTTGTACATGCAAAGTTCATTCTTTTCAAGAAAAAGATGACATTATAAACGAGCTAAGGGACAGGTTAGATCACAATTACAAAAACCTTCTCACAAAACTTGACAGAATTTCCTCATTTAGTGTACAACTTGATAATGAAAAGGACATGCTGAAGAAGCGAAATACAGAAGCAGAAATGCTCACACAGAAAGTTGCAGAACTCACTAGGAAGCTGAGTGAAACTGAAGTAGAACGAAATTGTGAGAAAGGCAAAAAGGATATGCTATTTGATAAAATAACCGTTCTTTATAAGAAAATCAAAGAATTAGAAGATTTAATTGCCAAAAGAGGGTAGTCTGAGCAAACCATTTTTCTAAATCAGAACAAGGACACTCGTTTTTATAACTCTAAGGAAGGTCTTGGCATCACAAACCCTCGTAATTTGAAAAAGATCAATTGCCGCCAGCTTTATGATATCAATTACATGGGTTTGGGATTGACCAAGTTAATGCTCTTTGTCGGAGCAAAAGAAACTGCTGAAGAAGAAGAAACAAAGAGATCAAACCCTTCTAAAGCTGAGGTTTCATTCAATTATAACTCCCTAAATGAAAGTTATGCTACAAAAGAACCAGTTTTTTCACATGACGAGAGTGTTAGTCCTTACCCTTCTGAGACAGAAGTTGTGTCAGATCCAGAACCTCCTTCAACCTCTAATTCTGAAAAAGAGGAAGAACCCTATATCCCTCCACTAATAAGAAAATTTGAAAAACTTCACATCTCTTTAGAAGAACAAAGAAAAGTTTTTGAAGAAGAAAGAAAAAGCTTTGAAAGTGAAAGGGATAGGTTGCTAAATGAATTAACTCTTTTAAAAGAAAGTTCTCGATCCAACACAACTTCTCAAGCATCTAGTGATACTGATACTGATATTTCTCAGCCTATTCAAGACAAAACTAACTTTTTCAAAAAGGCACCCACTCACTTCAACTCTCCTTTGAAAACAGGAAATAAAGTAAGTAGGAGAGTGGAGAGAAGAAGAGAGTGGCAGCTAAAGAGAGCTGAGATAGCTGAAGGAAAGAAGAAGATGTTTTTTGAAAATAAGAAGTCTTGTTCTAGTGCTGTTTTTTATTCAAATAAATGTCGTTCTAGTTCTTTGACACCACCATGTAGTTCTGTTTCAGTCTCGTGTCCCGAGCTGAATGAATCTGATTTTACTTCTGATCCATTTTATTTCAATAAGAGGATGTATGCTCCTAAGTTAGGGAATGCATGTTTTAATGATTCTGATCATGAATGTGTTGTGAAGTCTGTTCGTGAGAGAAAACAGAAAGAGAACAAACAAAAGAAACAATCTTAGAATAGAGCTGTAGAGGGTATTTATAATTTTCCAAATTTAAAATATCCTCTTAAAGTTCATTCAAAGAAACACTTACAAAGACTTTCTAAGGAAGCAATTTTAAAACCTTATCTCATGAACCAACCGTTCACACACAGAAACAATGACTCTGTCTTCTCTGCTCCTAAAATCAAACAAAAATGGATACCAAAAGCTGAGATTGAAAAACAAAAACCACTGTCTGAAAAGGCTGCTGACCTTGGATCACAGCTGAAAGAAAAATTCAAAAGGATATTCTCAATTGATAAGGAAGGACCCATCCTGCGGTGGGTACCTAAAAGTCCTTAATCTCTTTTGCAGGACGGTCATGTGTGGCACTTAGATTCAGGCTGCTCAACCCACTTGACCGGAATAAAAGAGCTGTTGAGCAATTACACCAAATGCTACAGAGGAAATGTGAGATTTGGAAACAACGCGGCTTCTCCAATCCTATGATATGGGGATGTCATCTGTGAAAGCGTCACCATAAAGGCTGTCTCATATGTGAAAGGACTAAAGCATAATCTACTGAGTATTGGACAGTTCTGTGATAGTGGCATGGAAGTGAAGTTTATAGCCAGACAATGTTGTGTGCTGGACAGGTTTGGGAAGGTATTATTGACCTGCACAAGAACTTCCAACCTGTACACCATTGATCTGAAGAGTGTGCAATTACCTTCTTCCATCTGCCTGCTGTCCAAAGCTTCCTCTGAACAAAACAGTCTATGGCACAGACGCCTCTCTCATCTCAACTTCAAATATCTCACAACTCTATCCTCCAAGAAACTTGTGAAAGGGCTGCCTCCTTTGAAGACTTCCGCTAACACTCATTGTGATGCCTGCAGACTAGGCAAGATGAAAAGGAGCTCTCACAAGTTAAAACCTGTTCCATCCTCCTCCCGACTGCTGCAACTACTTCACATGGATCTGTGTGGACCGATGAGAGTCCAAAGCATCAATGGACGCAAATATACACTGGTCATTGTGGATGACTTCTCTCGGTACACATGGACCAAATTTCTGAGGACAAAGGATGAAACAACTGCAACCATCATAACCTTCATCAGGACAATCCAAAATTTTCTACAAAAAAGTGTGGAGATCATCAGAATAGATAATGGTACCGAGTTCAAGAATCAGTCTCTTGCTGATTTCTATGAAACTCAGGGTATCACACAGCAATTCTCTGCAGCAAAGACACCGCAACAGAACGGGGTCGTTGAAAGAAAGAATAGAACTCTTGTTGAAGCAGCACGCACTAGTCTAATAATTGATACTTTCTGAAGTTAGTATAGCCTAAATCCTTTTTATTTATTGAAAATACGGAGTTGTTTGCCAATATTTCCCTCCTTAAAGTCTCTTGATTACGCTTTATTTTTTCAATAAACATTTTGCTTCATAATATACAAAAATAAACTTTTGAACGATTCCGAAATTTTCCGAGTTTGTGAGTCGAGTTTGTGAGTTTTGTACTTTTGTATACAAAAATGGTGGAGATGGCAGTGAGAAAAGGGATTTGAACTGTAGAGTGGTCATCTATCACTAAATTTATGAGTGAAAAAGATATTTTGTATAATCATTTTTTGGGTGAAAAGAATGCATCTATTTTTTTATTAAACTAAAAAAACTTTCTCTGTGTGATGGTGTGGTATTGCCAGGAGCCCAGGATGGTACCACTCTGAATGACTATGAAGACATCATCGAGGGTACAAAATTGAGAGATCATTGGAATAACTTATTATATCGTAATTAGGTTGTTGTATATTCATTCACACTTGCAAAGCATCGACACATAGTATTCCTATCATTTGATTATTATTTATTCACCCTTAAAATTATCCAAAAACTTTATGGGAGTGCTATAGTTACGTTTTGTCTATTTTACAAGAACACTTTGATGTAACTTGATCATATGCATATGACTGGGTACATAATTAGTATCTCATCAAGGCTTGCTTAATTTTTTTTGTATTTTGCATCATTTTAGTTTGTTTCCATTTTCTTAGCGGCAAAAGAAAATTAAAATAAGCTACTTACATAGTAAAGTATCTAGGCCGGCTATGTTTGGCACAATTAGCTGAAAATATACTTTTGTGAGCTTTTTAGTCACTGTTAGCTTTTAGTGACTGAAAAGATCTTAAAAGGAAAAGGTGATAGCTATTTGGTAAAAAACTGACTGTTTGATTTAGTTCTGTTTGGTATACAAGTTGTTAGGACGAATTAATACTAAAAGTTACAGGTTCTTCTCAGATATGATGCTACTCTCTGTAACATCTCAAAAAAGATCTTTTAATTTTTGAAAAACTCTTAAAAGTTGTCATGTCAAACATACAAAAGGCAGAGACTTATGTCTCCCAAACATGCTTCTAAGCTTAAAATGCGAAAAATGTGATGACTGATTTTATGGTAAAGCTTCTTTTTAATTGTTAAGTTTGTTGTCTTTTACCCATGTGACTATTTTCTTAGTGAGAAAAAACGAACTAAAATAACCTACTTAAATAGTAAAGTATCTAAATTTAAGGACATGTTTGGATCTACTTAGAACTGCTTTTGCTATTTTTAGGGAGCAAAAATAGATTTTAAAGTGTTTGGATGAAATTGCATCGTTGGCATGACCTACACACATAATAATTCAAAATTACACCCCGTGCAACGCACGGGTGGAATAATAGTGGGTTGTAATATTAAGACGTTGTAATATTAAGGATGTTTTTACTTGGACTGTAATTCGTCCCAGACCAGACCAAACCAGACCAGACCAGATCAGACCTGGATGGTTATAAAAATACAAAGAAACCAGACATGACCAGACCAGACCAGTTCAAACCAGACCAAAACTCAGACCAGTTCCGGCGAACGGCGAAAACGCGACAAGAACACTCAGGAAATTTTTCAGAAAGCTGGAAGTGTTTTAGAGCTCAAAAATACATGAGGAATGTGTATTAACGTGTGTTGTTGCAAAGCACCTGCTAGCTATATATAGGGATGAATTTGTGGTGTGTTAACTGAACTTTAATGGACCTGAACGTTCGACATAAATGACCAGAACGTTGGGTATTTAAAGGCCGTAATGCTTCAGAGCAGTTCTGGTGCGACTATGCCAAGAGAGCCCTTCTGATCCGAACAGAAGTGGAGCAGTTCTGGTGCGAACAGAACCCCTTTCTCGTCCGGACACAAGCAGAGTGATTCTGGTTCTATCGCGAACAGAACTCAAGCCCTTCTGCCAGCCTGGAAAAAACTATGAACGTTACGGGAAGAAACAAAAATTAAATCATATCTTTGAAAGATATGATTTAATTTTTGAACGACATTCGTGTCCGCAGGTCACAATTTTTCTTCTCCTTTTTCGGTATTAGATTCACACCACAACTGCGCGCAAAGAAGCCTTTCCACTTAGAAATCTTAACTCTTTCAAGTTTCAAAGAGGGTTCCCTTTATAAGGGGTTCAAAATCTCTTGGGTTTTACGGTGTGGGAAATATTACACTAGAAACCCATTATTTTCTTATTTTCTCCATTTCAACGAGTAAACTTCGATAATCAATTTCTCATTCACCCGTTATCCATTTTGAGTGTACCACATATCGAATTGTAGTCCTTAATCGGAAGTGGATCCCACTCAAATTACTGCCCGAAATTGACTATTTAATGCAATTTAACACATTTTTCTAACAAACTCCCCCTTTAAGTAAAAAACCCCATTTTCTCTTGTATAATATTCAAATAATCTGCATTCATTATTTAAATAAATAGAAGTAATTAGAAATACTTGGATGAAACCGACCCCAATGAATCATTGTCTCCTTAAGATGAATTTGCCCACAACACAAGTAGCAATCGCCTCCCATGATAGAATGGTTTTTCGTTCCCGAAGGACACCAGCGAACCAAATAAATGATGCACTAAAGTGGTGGAATTTGGATGAGAAAGATTAGGAAAAACGTTAAGCAATTTTCGGACTTCTTGTCAATGAAAAATGCAGGCCTCCTAATGGAATTTATAGTGCTCTGGCCAGGAGACACAATCCCAAAAGGTGCCTGTTAAGAAAAGGTAGCGATCCTTCTCTTAAAGTTGCTTTTATCTGAAAATTATTTGTACAAAAAATAATATTTAAGTCTTAAAGCCACGTCAGTACCCACCTGTACTCCAAACCCGACCCGACCTATCCAGCCAGTAGCACGGCGGCGGCAACCCCGGACAAATCCTACACGAACGAACCTTGCTTCGGAGAGAATTTCGGGATACAATTTCTCATTCATTTCAAAATGATTTTCTACAAATAATATATACTCCGTAATTTATAAAATCATTTTTCCAACATTTTCGTTGAGCCTACGTTTGAGGTACTTTCAACATTCTAGCTTACATAGTTCCATTTGATTGTAATCATCGGCTGCAAGTCATGTACCTACAGATCGAACGTAATTAAATTGTGTCGTTTGTATGTACACTGAATTCCTTTACTTTCGTTTCTTGTTCTTGCTTTTGCAATCAAAACATGTTTTTCTGAGTTTGTTGATGTATATTATTATACCGAGTATTATTGCATGTGCATTATCCAGCCGTAGAAGTGGACTCTAGTTGGGAACTTTTTTGTAAATAATGTTGTTTTAATATTTTGTATTTAATCTCCTCCTAGTTTATAGGATCTATATAGTGGTAGTTCAACCCATACGGTCATGTAGAATCCGTATGTAGAATTGTAATATATAGAGGTTTCCTCTGACAGATAATGACAACGAACGATTCTCACATATCGGTTTTATTATGTTACGAATGATTTTTCATGGTATCAGAGCAGTGATTTAACGATCCTCTTTACGTTAAACACAAGCGGCAAGGATAACGACCGAGAAGACGAATACGACTGGCCATAACAACACGAAGGAGATGTCGAACATGGCACCTGGCTTTACCAAAGACCAGTGGGAGAGCTTTCTGAAACTTGTTGAAAACTGTAAGGGACTCTCAACCGATCATGAAAAACTCACAGGTATGAATATTACTGATTGTGAATGGCTCCTAGACTCCGGTGCGTCGTATCACATGACGGGAAATACACAAGTTTTGACCCGGGTTGAAAAGTTGGCACCTATTCCAGTAACTCTACCCGATGGAAATATTAACCATGCAACATGTGTGGGACAAGTACGATTGAGTCCTAGGGTATCAATTAAAAATGTTTTATTGGTACCGGGTTTGAAGTGTAATCTCATTTCGGTGGGACGGTTAATTGATGATTTGAATTGTGATGTTTATTTTACTAATGATATTTGTGTGATACAGGACCTATCTACGAGGATACCAATTGGAGTGGCTAAACGGTGCGGGGGAGTATACTATTTTCACTGTCTTGACAAGCTGCGAGCTCATTCCATCATAGGTGATCGTTTAGGTGATCTATGGCATTCAAGGCTGGGTCATCCTTCCAAAACAGTGTTACGTCTTGTTAGTGGCTTGCAAAAATCTCCGATTACTTTTGATTCGAACAAAATATGTGATGCATGCATGCGTGGAAAACAAACTCGTGATGTATTTGCGATTAATACTGCTAGAGCAATTGAGCCATTTGAATTGATTCACTGTGATATATGGGGTCCGTATAGAACACCCGCTACTAGTGGAGCACGTTATTTTTTAACCATAGTTGATGATTTTTCTCGTGCTGTCTGGATACATTTGCTTTGTGAAAAGGGGGAAGTTTTTAACGTTCTTAAACATTTTATTGCTATGACAACAAGACAGTTTAATAAACAAGTGAAAGTTGTTAGAGCTGATAATGGTTTGGAATTTCAAAAATTGAGAGGCTATTTTTTGAATGATGGAATTATTTTTCAAACCTCTTGTGTGTATACACCTCAACAAAACGGGAGGGTTGAACGAAAGCATAGACATATTTTGGATATGGCTAGAACACTTCGATTTCATGCACACTTACCCATTCAATTCTGGGGAGAGTGTGTACTAACGGCAGGTTACCTTATCAATCGGTTGCCATCTCCTTTACTGGACAATAAGAGCCCCTACGAATTATTGTTCAATAAATTGCCTTCCTATAATCAGTTAAGGGTCTTCGGATGCTTATGTTATGCACATAATAAAGAAAGAACTGGAGACAAATTTGCACCTCGTGGACTCAAGTGTGTATTTTTGGGATATGCTTATTCTCAGAAGGGCTGGAAGGTGTTTGATTTGGACACTAAACGACATTTTGTTTCACGCGATGTTTCGTTCGTTGAAACGATTTTTCCGTTTGCTATGGATAATTTTCCAGATTATTCTTCAAGGAAGACCGATG